TATTAATAATCTATTTTTTCTTTATCTTTCATAAAAATGAAACAAAAATAAAAGATAATATTGAAGTTGGTAATACTGATGATATCTAGAAAAGACATTTTGAATTTATTAGTTTTGTAAGTACAATCTATAAGAAGAATAAAAGAATATTAACAAGTAAGGACAACAAATTCATTATGTGTAAAGAAAAGATAAGTAACACATCTCATGTCATCATATTCATACTCATAAAAAAAATTATCTTTTTTAAGCTTATCTATAAGAGCTTGAATAGAAGTATGACCAGCCAGATTTTGTTGATGAAGCTATTTGTGAGTATTATAAATATTTCTATTAGTAATTAACATTAAAGAATTATTCTCATAAAGGGTTAATACAATTTTTTGAGAATATGAACCAGCAATAATCATTACTGTAATATTTATCACTTATTATTCTGCAAGTTAACAAGCAATTGGATGTTCTGACATGTCTTTTGAATAATTATAATTATAATTAGAGTTACGAACTTTCAAATATCATAAACTGTTATATCTAATAATATATAATTTGAAAGAATAATTGATTAGTCTGATGCTTTTTTGTCTATAGTAAGTTTTTTTTAATGAAATCCAAGAAATTTTCATAAATATCATCTCAGTCACAATGCAAAATTATATTTTTTAATTTATCACAGTGATCTTTATGAGTTCTTTTCTTTACCAATATATAACTCTGAGAATTGGCAAATTTTTGAGCACTTTCAAAAAGTTCATCAGTACTATTATGTACTATTGAAGATGGTGAATACATATTAATGAAATGTGAATTTATTTGAGAATGAGTTTAAAATACTGATTATGTTGATGACTATAATTTTGTTTGTTACATTCTCATTGATTGATTGTCAAATATTTGCAGTCCTTTCAAAAGTACTTTCACAATCAATCTTACTATAAGAATAATTAATTAATTATGAGTGAGTTAGTGTGATAAAGCAATGGTGAATAATAATATATATTATAACAAGAGTAATTATTTTTGATCAGATCTTTTTGATCTTTTCTTTATTTTGTTCTTTTATAACTTTATATTGTTTCTTGTATATATAATTTAATTCTTTTTAATTATTGTTTTAAATCAATAATTTTATATTGCTTCTTAATAACAAATAAATCTTAAATATTATTTAAAACTTTTAATTATTATTTAAACTAATTATTTTATTCTAGACTTTTAATTATTTATTATTTTAATCATTTTCTTTAAAATCACATCACTGATCATGTAAATACGTGATTAGCATTGATATTATTACAAAAGAAGGCACAAATAACAAATTTGAGAGGTATGAATATCAATTGCCAAAAAATTTATTATATATAAATAAATATTTATATTTTTAAAGTTTTTATTACTCTATTATTAATTTTCTTTTTTAATTACTCTTTTTTACTCTTATTATATATATTTTTAATTTTATATTTATAATGTAATTTATAGTATAATTTATAATATTACACAATAAAATTTATAATGAAATTTATAATAAAAATTATAATATAATTAAATGAATTTAATATCATCAAAAAGATCTAGTTAAAGTATATCTAATAATATCAAAATTATTGAATTTAATTTACTAGATATAAAGATATCATATCTTTATCATTCTGTGAAGAAAATTAATTTTTGCAAATATCTTCATATTCAATGAACCAAATTAAATAAATTTGATATTATTAGAAAGATCTAGTTAAAATATATTTAATAATATCAAAATCATTAAATTTGATTACTAGATACAGAGATATTATATCTTAAAAATAATGTACAAAATTGTGACAAAATTTTGTACAATTTTGTATATTATTTTTAAGATATAATATCTCTACATCTAGTAATCAAATTTAATGATTTTGATATTATTAAATATATTTTAACTAGATCTTTCTAATGATATTAAAGTCATTTAATTTGATTTATTGGATACAAAGATATTTGCAAAAATCAATTTTCTTCACAAAATGATAAAAAAATTTTATACAATTTTGTACAGTGTTTTTAAGTTGTAATATTTTCATAACTAGTTAATCAAATTCAATAATTTTGATATTATTAGATGTATATTGACTAGGTCTTTCTAATGATATCAAATTCATTTAATTTGATTTACTATATATAGAGATATTTGCATTTTTTTAAACTGGTTTTTTTTATTACCAGGTTCAAAGTTTACTACAATTCTGCTAGTATTTCAAATTTTTGATGAATAATATTAACGAAATAAAAAAACTAGATATTTTCTAATAAAAATAAAACTCAAAATATTTAATATAAAATTAGTTATATAAATTATTAATTATTAGAAATTTAATTACTATTTTTATTTTATTAGTATTATAAATTTCTTTAAATTATAATCAGTTTTCAATTTGATTTTATATCAGTAATATTATTAATGATTATTCAGCATTTTTTTTATTAATAAAAATTCTAGTCAGAATTTTAATAGTAATAATGCTATGCAAACTTTAATTAATTATTAAATATATAAATTATATATATTATATAATTTATTTGATGTTATTGATATTGTTACAATATTTGTCATTTAATAGATTGCTATATATTTATTTTTTTTTAAATAAATAATAAAATTATATTTTAAATAAAATTATAATTTAAATTTAGAATTACAAATTGATATATTATAAATTTTTAAAATAATAAATATGAATATTATTTAAAAAATTGCATTTCTAAAAATAATATAATTGATTTCAAAATAATTTTCATATATATTCTAAAGTAATATATATATTAGTGAATATAATATATAATAATTTATTTAAATATAATATTAAAGTTTTTATAAGTATATAATTAGTATAATAATTTTAGAACTAATTTTTGTTCAAAAAAAGAGTGCAAAAAAGTATTATTATTGTTTTGTATATAAAAATAAAAATTTAGATTAATATTTTATTATATATCATCCATCAGATTTAGAAAATCTTATATAATAATTCAGTTTGAATTAATTCAAACTTTGAATTTTCTTGAACTCAAGCCAAAATCTAATTCAAGTTCAGTTTGAATTTCAAATCAGATTGGAATTCAAACAAAAGTCTGATTTTAGTTTAGTTTATAAGAATACTAAATATAGTTTAATAATTGCACTTAAATATTATTTGAAATATATTTAGAGTTATTATTTTACTAAAAAAATCCAGTAACATCCTTTATAAATATTAATTGCATTATTATATATGCATAAATTATGTTAAAATAACCAAATTAGTCGGAATGGAAGATCAAAATAAGTTATATTATCTTAATAGAAAACAATCAATAAGAAACAAATTTTGATTTTTAAATATAATATAATCAAATCTTTATATAGTTATTTTTGATTTTTTATATGTACCACCTGTAAATTTTAGTGAGTGTTTACCATTTGTATAACGATTTTTCAGAATATGGTTATGTCAAACAAGTATTAATTGCAAAATTCTTATACAACTTTAGAAAACTCAATTGCTATGGTGCATAACATCTAAAGTCATCAAACGTTTGTGTTTTACAAAATGTATTAACATCTTTACAAATAAACAAATACAAAATTTAATCCGTGAATATGATAGAATAGGTTCTTTCTGAGCATATTCACAGATTAAATTTTAAATTTACTTCTTAGTAAAGATGTTTATACATTTTATAAAACACAAACGTTTGATGACTTTAGATGTTATGCACCATATGATTTTGACTCCAAAAACAAGGCGATATATAGTGATTCACACAAGAAATGGAACACGCGATCAAAACATTTTAGAATTTTATCTTCGTCAATATTAGTCTAAACAAAATAAAAAGTACTTATTTAAACCACAAGACTTTTTTAAAATATTTGACAACAGTTATTTGTCAAATTTGTAAAACTGACTGGGTGATTCAAATCAAAATTTCCAATTAATAAATTGAAGAACTTTTTCTAAGTTTGGACCACTAATCAAACAATATTCTACTCTACAAAATCCGCCTATGTACCAATTTCACAAAATTGGTACAAAATCTATCGGGGTTTAAGATTCCGAAGGTTCGAATCTCTGTTAGAAAATGAATAGCCCCAACAGAGATTCGAACCTTCGGGATCTTAAATTTTGAGCCAATTTTATGAAACTGTTCCATAGTCTGATTTGTAGAATGTAACATTTTTAATAAGTGGTCCAAACTTGGATTCGTTATAGAAAAAAGTTATTCAATGTGAGAAATTTACTAATTGAAATTTTTGATTGTCTCAGATTTGTACTTTGTCTAATAATAGATTTAATTGATAACATAACCAAAGAAAGGCTAGTTATAATGCATTTAAACCCATTATACATATACACACTCTTACAATATATTACTGGAGATTTTAAAAATGAATTTATTAGTTTGGAACCCTATATCTCGACATCCAGTGATCCCCTTCGAACAAAGATATCATTATATATCGCCTTGACTATACGAATATAATAGCGATATCTTTGTTCGGATGGGATCACTGGATGTCAAGATATCAGGTTCCAAAGTGACCAATTCATTTTTGAAAGTTCTAGTAATATGTTATAGGGGTGTGTACATGTATTGAACTTCTCAATATAGGCAGCACTATAATATATCCATATATTATGAAAGATTAATTATAACAATGAATTAAATTGTGGCTTTTATATCCTAATTAAGCTGTAGAACTTAAACATTTTTTTTGAGTATAGGTGTTAATCACCATAACAGAAGATAATTCATTTATTATAGCTGGCTGACATTATCGTTATTATATTAAAAAATTTATAAGTATAAAATGTAACTGAATTTAGTTGGTTTCTAATTATATAAGAACAAAATATTTAGACATATAAATCATAGAGATAAATATTGGAAAAATTAAAATTTTTTGACATACAAACCAACTGAACTAATATCTACAAAAATGGAGAATATATAAATAAAACTTTATTTATTAGAAAAAATTATTGGTGAGCAAAAGGAAATATTAAAGCTAAATTCTCTGTATTTTGTAATTGGTTGTTGCGTAACCTGGTTGTTTGAATCACTTGTAATGGGTCCTAGTTCAGGTTCAATAACTTGGTGACTATTCTCTAAACCTTTCTGCTTATGCTTTTATATATAATTTGTATATTACACAAACTAAAAGAACAACACCTAAAATTCCTCCTATGACACCACCATCTACTATACTGCTAACATTTTTTCTTTTTTCTGGAGTCGAATTAGAAGAAGTATTACTATCATCACTTGGCTTAAATGTTATTTGTTGCTGAATTGGTTCCATTTGGCATAGTGTTATTTGTTGACGATGCTGACGGATTTGTTTCGTTTGATGTACTGTTACTTTTTGTAGTTCCACTTCCTTCAGTAACGACTAAAACAACTTTCATTCCAGCAGCACAATAACCAGGTACACCGCAGAAATAATCCCAGCAGTACTTATTTCCTTGACGAAGGCAATTACTACAGTATGAGTATTGTAATTTGAACATTCTCTACAGTATTCCGTACTTGGTAATTTTTACATTCTAGCGTATTCAAATATTAGATCTTTAGTTCACTTTATTTGCAGTGTTTTATTAAACTTTGAAATGATGGTATGTGTGGATACCGATTGTTAAAATGATATATGTCGTCTTAAATACATGTTGTGGGCGTAATGTGTTCATAGAAATCGGTTTACGAGATCAAATGTAATGTTATCGTTATTACATTTGCTCAAAAGAAACGGAACACTTGACATTGATTAAAATGTTCAAGAATTTTCATCTGTCACTATTGATCCAAACAAAGCATAATTTGAAAAATAGGTTACGTATTTTGTGAAATTGAGTGACCTGAATTAAATTTTCAAACTTTTTTCTATTACACTACGTAGTGTTTTTACTCCCTATGAATCTAAATATATTGCAAATTTATCGATATGTAAACTTCCGAAATTCAAAATTTAATGATCAAAATTAAAATTTGGACTTTCAGAATCTAACGCTAATGTCTGAATTTTGCGCTGATATTGGTACAGTCCCGGCGAAAGCAATGGCGGCCAATTTTTTTTATTATGTTTCATTTAATTGTATACCTAAAATCTCAGTACTTGGTGCGCTCTCTCTCTCTGTGTCAATAAAAGTTCGAATATAATTTAATGTTCTAAAAATTTTGTTTTCAACTTAAGAAAAAAATTAAAAATCTTAATAATTCAATAAATATTATTCTGACTAAAGTGAAATTACTACTAAAACCTGTAATCGAGAAAATGACTTGCCGTGATGTGCTCATAGATTTTCGCATCACATTTAATTGTTATCGTTATCGTTATTATATTGCTAGAATCTAGCACAATACGTACGTATTTATATATGTTGCTCTATGAAAAATGTTATTATTATAGTAAAATTTATATATTAATCTCACTGCCGTTGCTTTCGCCGGGGACTGTGTACCAATATCGATATACGTAAGTGTCATAGAGTATAACATTTTAATTGGTACATAGATAAGTCTTTGTCTTAGAAAAAATGTGAAATTTACTAATTTAAACTTTAATTTAGAATATTAAATTGGCTAAAATAATCTGTTGAGAAAATATTTAAAAAAATACTAGATGGTTTTTAAGTTTAAAATGAATACTTGTTTACTTTGTTTGGACTAATATTGACGGAGAAAAAATTTATCGAGTGTTCCAGCCAACTGTACATGTAAAAATCCAATTATCTCAAAATTGATGTTTGTCAAATTCCTTGATTTCATGCATACGAATTATGGACGAAGGACCTGAAACACTCGGTGAATATAACACACCGTCAATGGTATGGATAATTTATCAAATAATTTGCAAATTTGGATTATTTTTTTATTGTTCAAAGCTGCCGCCACCGTGGACTTCTTATTACGTACATGTATTGCAATTTTGGATTTTCAATTTTCAATATACGTACATGCATGTAAAATCAATATCTATCGCTATTGCAATTTTGAATTACAATCAACACAATCATAGCGATAGCAAATCAAATTCTTGATTTAGAAAAAGCTTACACAGCCTATTTCCTTCTTCGTGCGGCGGTGCTTCAGAACATTTAGCGTTATCATTATTCACTGAAACGCATTTAAAGCGAGCAATTTTAGCTATTGGATAATCACTTTCTTGGATACTATCTATGGTTATTTAATTACATGTACCAGTACGTAATCTTGGCGGCTATATGGTATATACCGATACATATTCGACTATCGCCATTTACACGTTTCATAAAAAAAATATATGTATAAATAAATACTGTACGTATGTACATGTAATTTCTCAAAAAACCAATAAAATATTTCTTCTTTATTTTACATTCAACAATGACCCGCGTATTTAAAATTGTATTGGCTCTGGTGTCTTTGGTCACTGTTGTTCGTGCCGCTGAATATAATATCACTACGCAAGGATTAAAATTTGTACCAGATAATCTTGATGTTAAACCTGGTGATAAAGTAAATATCAATGCTGATATTATTCGATATTGCAGTACTTTTCTCCCATGGCATTAATATCAAAATTAAATAATTAAAGGTTACATGGACAACTAATGATACGCATACTGTTGTTCAATCTGATCAAGCTGATTGTACTCAGTCAAAAGAGAAGAATGCTTGTAAGTTTTTAATTTATGTTATATGATTTAATCATTAATTGCAAAGAAAGAAGATTAATCTTTTATTTTTTTAAACTAAAAGTTAATTCTGGTGGAAACTTGAAACCTGAGGGATATTCCTATACAATTCCTTCAGATGCTAAACCTGGCAAACTTTATTATTTCTGCGAATTACCTGGTCATTGCGCAGCAGGAATGAAAGCAGTTTTAGTAGTTACGGATGGTAAAAATAGCTCATCAACAAATACAAGTAGCACTTCTTCAACTAACTCTAATGCATCAACCACATCTGCACCCACTGCTTCCAATACTAAACAAAGTTCCGCTGATAATTTGAAACGCTCTTTTGAAGTGGCATTTATTTTATTAGCTTCTGCTCTTTATTATAATATTTTTTAACCATGAACTAGATTTCCTTGCTCTATTCTGTTCATGCAACTTGTCATATCATATAAGACGCTATCAATTATTATAGTGATAACAAATAATAAATTTCAACTTTATACAAAATATTTTAGTATATTCCTTTTTTAGTATATTCGTATAATGTACTAAAAGCATAACAACGATAGGATAACTGTACTGTAAATGATTTGTTCTATATTTTTTAGAACGGACATTTTGACTTCAATTAAACTTGAGGTCAAGTCATATTTTTACATTATAAATTAATTATTATAAGCCTCTTAAAATTAACTGCAGTCATATCAATAATCGTTTGAAGAAGCCACTATAATAAAACAGCTTGAAAAATAAAAGCTGTCAAAAATAATTTAAAAATTGAATCAAAAAAGATTTTTGCATGCATCGTTAAAGCAATGAGATAGTTCGTCATAAAATAAAATGAATAATTTGATGTAAAATAGCCGATTCCTATCCAACATCCGGGAGAAATAAGTTGATATTGATTAAAAGCCAAATAAAATAAGCAATTCTTTAACTGATAAGTTATTACTATCAAAATCACACATCCACATTACTAATCCAATACTCATGTAAATAGTACTCGTAAATAGCTGCCGAAGTGCTTAATGGCATTTGTTGAATAAAGTTATCATAGTCAGTTGTTTGTAAAATGCAAATATTACCTACAGTAATTATGGATCACAAAAAGTTCTATGAAAAAATGGATTTAAGCAACGAAATTACGAAAAAAACAATAACTACAGTGAAATATATCTAAGGATGACAATATCCCTCTAATGATGTTGGGTTAAGGATATATCGATTCGATATTGATTCTTAAGTACCAAAATGTAAAAAATACGCAGAAACATAAAATATCTATCAAAACGTAAAAATACTCGCAAAAAATCTACCAAAACATAAAAAAATCTACACTAAAAAGTTATTCCTGACGCAAAACAGATATTCCAATCGAGCAATCAAGTACTCCGAAACGATATAAAGGAAGGTATGTCGATAAACTTAATTGTTTGGTGGGAATAGGTTGAATCGGATCGGTTCTTGTGCATTGTTTAGATTTTTAAAAGCCATCACTATCGCTATAGGTGATTACACATAATTTTTTAATTAGTAAAAGTTCAACGCGAAAAATTTCCTCTAAAAAAACCAACTTTCAGCTAAATTACGTTCGTAGCGTCTTGGTGATCAATATACGAATATCCGAGGTTCAACGTTGCAACTGTTGTGTTCCCTTTAATATTTAGTAGGAAGGGTTTATTTTGTGACGAGTGGGTTGGGGCACCAGATCGTTATATTTATTATAACGATCGATTTGTTAAGGGATTTTCCGCAACGGAGTGGGAGCTAGACTGAATTATTTACGGTTGAAGGGTTCTTCAGGTGTTCTAAAGGTTTTTCCGTGACGACTTGTGCGCAAATCGACCTTTTCTTAACAATTGGGGGGGGGGGAGAGAGAGGTGTTCAAAAGAGTAAGTAGAATAGAATTATTCTTGTAACAAGGATCCAATCGTTATAATAAAATCCGGTTTATCCAACAAGTGACCGATATATTCACAGACTTGACAGGACTTATTGATAGGCCCGTCCAAGGAAAAAAAAATAAAAGAAAACAAAAGCAATTCAACAGGGTTTATTGATGCGGCCTGTACAAAGTAAATAAATCTTATTTCAAAAGAGATCGACGGCTTATTTAGCATCCACTACTCGCAATTTCTCGCAAGGTTTGAAGTTTGATCACGAAAATACAAGAAATAATAGTGTATTTACAAGTAATGCCACTACGAGTAAGAACTTTTTTATTTTATTCGATAAAAGTATGATCAAAGCATGTCCTCTCAGCGACTTGAAGACGCTTCTGTATACAAGTTTTGATTGCTACACTAATTAATTTTGGATTACTACGCTAATCCTACGTAAATTCTAAAGTTAACGATTTACATTGATGGTTTCTTTTGAAACGTCCAAGCATATTGTTCAATATCTTTTCGATTGTCCGGATTATCGTCCCCATCTTGATAATCACTATCGTTACGTGCATTAATTATCGTTCGATGTTCTCCTATTGTCCAAGTGATTGTTGAGATAGTTATCGTCCTCTTGATGATCACTATCGTTACGCGCATTAACGTTACGTTATTATTGAAAAACGATGGGATATTCATAACACAGGAAAAATAAGGTAACGGTAATATTCATTCGTAACGAAACATTTCTAAACTTGGCTTTCAATGTGAGTTGCACAAGACTAACTATGGAAAGATTATCGTGTAGGTCATTATGGAAATATATTCACGTGGAAAGTGAGGATCAAAATTACGAAATTAGAGGATTTAATGTTACTTCGGTAGCAACACATCGATATGTAAAAATAGTGAATTAATTTACTAATTGAATTTTCAATATTCGGGGACTCATCCCAATTTCCAACGTAAAATTGGCATGTATCAGTATATAGTTTTATAGAGAAACATTTTTCCGGGATTTGCCTTGGGAAAAAATATTCAGCGTTAAATTAAAAAATTATGTATAGATCACCTAATTTTCCTAAATGGAAATAATATTTTTTTAGGACACTAAAGTTTTTTTCATAAAACTTTTCATGATTCCATACTTTTGAGAGCCACTATAAATGTTTGTACATTATGCGAATTCTCTATTCCCAATTTGCAGCTGACCAAATGTACCATTAAAGTTCTAACCTTGTAATATAGTAAAACTATAAAATAAAGTTAAGTACAATTAAAAATTATCAACTCCCATCAGATCCTGTAAGTTGTACTCTTGCAATACGCGTAAATAAGTAATGACATGAATATTACATATGTAAACAATACTAATATTATTCCTGTTCCATAAATAATACAATTATCATTATTCCTTTTTCAAAAATAATACGTAAAATTACAAGCCTGATTTTTCCAAATATTTGTTGCGAAATTATTGGTAATTTTTCTGTAAATTTTCTAATTTAAACAGTTCCAAAATTGGATTCCATCAATTGAATTTTTTTATGAATTATAACTAAACAATCATCCCTTAAAGGTTCTGTATTATTCCGATACATTCCAAAAGTCAACATACAAATTCCAAAACGCAACTCTCATAGGCTTCCATTGTGTGATCAATTTCAGTGTTAACGTTATACATGAAAAGTGAGACAGAACGCCTACAGTGTTTGCAGAAGCGTATTATATTATTTTGCATTTGATTTTTATAACGCTTGCATGCCCATGTGTATGAGATAACGAACAAAACAGTACTGAGCCTTTTTAACAGATAATAATATATAGATATAAATCATCGTTTTTTAAATAAAACACAGTCATAATCATTAACGTTAAATTCAAAGATGGCATCTCAAAAATAATTACTATATCTTCATAGAACTTCAATTTATAATTACGTTTACAACATACATGTATTAAAAAGAGTATTTTGTTATTTACACAGAAGTTATAAGATCCTTCTTTTTATGCGTTCTGTCTCTCATCATTTAATGCATGTTGGGCGTATGTAGTATTCCTAAAACTCACGATTGTAGTGAATGTATCAAATGTCAATGGGGTTACTACTGCAAAGCGTGTTCAGTTCACAATATTCATAATTGTAATAAGAACTGTTTCGATTGTATATACTCCGAGTAGGGTGTCCAGTTTACTGCATTTGCAGATTTTGCAGAATCCATATCGATATGGTTTATAATGTGATTTGTGTACATAATTTGCATAATGATAATATAATGTGGATTTTATAACTTGCAGTATAAAAATGATCTATGCGAAATTCTAAACAATGTATAACTAATAATTAAAAAGTAATAATTATTAAGTTTTAAATAATGTTTTTTTAAAAAATTTGATCAACATAATGACCTTGCACATTTTTCAGTTTGCAGAATTTGCAGAATCAATTGCAGTAAATTACTGCGCAGAAATGCAGTAAACTGGACACTCTAACTCCGAGTACTGCGATGAGTGTTCAGCTCACAATACACATTATTGTAGTAAATGCACCAAATGTCAAGACAATTACTACTGTTATGGATGTCTTCTACATCACAGACGAATTTATATGACTAGCGAAGATAAAGATATCGACAGTCTAATAAATGATAGAATTGCTTGTGAATCTTGCGAATGATCCCTTTTAAAAGATTTACCAATGTTGAATATCTTACAAAAGGAGGTTTTGGTTCAATTCATAAAGCAACGTTGGACGGATCAATAGATAAAGTTAGGGGATGGGATCATGTAAAGAATAAATTTGAACGATGGGGAGAAACTGACGTTGTGTTGAAATCCTTACACAATTCAAAGCAAATTACATCCGAATTTATAAACGAGGTAAAATGAACACCTTTAAGTGTAAAAAAATTGCTTTTTGGTTTTTAAATTTAATTAACTTTTTCAAAATTAGATTCTGACTGCTCTAAAGTGTGGTTATTATGGAATAAATTATTACAGAACAAATTATTATGGACTAACTTAAAACCCAGCTACGAATGAATATTCGATAGTAATGACTTATGCAAAAGATGGTGATCTACGCAAATATATGAATTACAACCACCACGAAGCATTGCGATTGACTTGAAATCAAAAATTAATTCATTCAAGTAATATTCTCTATAGTATGAAAATAATTCACCAAGGTGGATTTGTGCATCATGACTTTCACCCTGAAAATATATTAATACAGCTTGAAACTGCTTCAATTGCTGATTTTGGACTTACCAGCTCAGCAGATATAGAAATATTTGACCAGAAAATTTGCGGAGACTTCCTTATATTAGTCCAGAGGTACTAAATGGAAAATATACAATAAAGCTGCAGATATTTATAGCTTTGGGATGATTGTGTACGAGATTGTAACAGGCGAAAGATAATTCGTTGAACGAAGTCATGCTAGACACCACGTATTAGACATCTATAAAGAAGTACGACCTACGATACCAAATAATGATTCAAGTTTAT